GCATCCACAGGTTTCCGCAGCCCGCATTGGCCTGGAGCGGCGAACCATGGCCAGTGGGAGCCGCAATCGGCCGAACCTGCGGACGTGGCAGGTAAACAAACCAGCCCAGACCGCCAGAGGCTTTCCCTGAACAAGTGGCGGCCCGACTTTGAGAAGCACTGATCTACACTGCTATTTTTAGCCCCTTAGCGCAAGCCCAAGTCAGTTGACCCAGGCTCTGAGACTCACTGCTCTGGGTTTATTGTTACAGTGTAGACACACCACATGCTCCCACGCCTAGATTACACAGCCTCCAGAAGGTGTGCTTCACAAAGTACTGAATATAGTAATGCAAGACTGCATGCAGTTGCATTAAGAATTGCAATCTGGTGCCAGGCAGGAATGCAATTATGATCTCTAGAAAAATTCATCTCTAGTTCAAGTGCAGAGTGACTTGACATTGAGAGAGATGAATGGCTCTAAGCAATGCATCGGTTCCCCTCTGAACCACACCTCCCACATTGAAAAAACAACAACTGTACTCTAACTGCAGTTTCAAATGCCATTTCATGTTGAGGATCCAACACACAGTAGCTTCACTGTTCTTGGACAAACCAGCAAGTACTCAACCAAGCCAATCTAAACGAACCTGAACCTTGACCCAGACATTCACACTCTGGAGTTACTGACCAAGCACCTGATTCCGATAGTAGCATTCATTCTGTGGGACTGAATGTTAAAGCTGCAGCATACAGGTCTTTTTGTGGTTCAGCTGGGAATGTCCAGGTGTTCATGAGTCTAGAGGACCAATATCTGTATAAGGAGGGTGCAATTCCATTGGAATAACTGAAGTTATTTGCTTCTACTAGATTTAAATGTGGCCCCCTGATTGATAACCATGGTAGTTAAGGTTGTGCGGCCCTTTAAGATGGTATACAGGTACTACTGAGAATGAATTAAGTTCTTGCCTTAGTCTACCTCCTTGCTTGAAGCAGCCTCTAGGACAGAGGTCCCCAAACTGTGGGGCATGCCCCTCCAGGGGGATGCTGAGGAACATTTTGGGGAGCGTGGCTGGGGCCCGGGCCAGTCCCACAGGGGCCAGGGAGGGAGCGCCACCCAGCTCTGCTCCTGGCTACCAGCTCCAGGCCCCCGACTCCGCTCCTGGCCCAGTCCCAGCTGTGGCCTCAGGCTTGGCTCCCTTACCCCTGTCTGGACCCACCCCTCTCCCCCAGAGCTGCGGCCCTGCTCCCGGCCCCAGTTTGGGGGCGCGGACAGGGGTATGGAGGGGCGTGAGATAAAAGGTTTGGGGTCCATTGCTCTAGGAGCTAAATTCTGATTTCAGTTACAGCAATGTAAATCCAGAGTATCACTGAAACCCTATGATTCTGCTTGGTTTTCTGACTACTAAAGTTGAACTGGCTGTTATTTTATCCACAAAGTCTCTGTTCAGTCATATTTCTGGATTACCAAAAAAAAGGTACAGTGACAGTTTCTTTCTAAACTCACATTTGGATATTTCTGCCACGCACGCTCTAAATGAATTACAAAGAAGTGTAGACAATGCTTAGAATTCAGTCACTAACATCTGCCTTCAATACTAGGTCAAAATAAAAGATTCAAAAACTGCTACTCTAGATCTGTTCCAGAACTTTCCATAGTTTTAACAATCCTATACCAACTAAGCAAGCACAGGAGGCTCTAGCTCTTTGCACAGCAGTGTTTAAAAAACACAAATAAAAAGAACCCTGTAATCATGCCAGTAGGTATGATTTCATGGGACCTCACAAGCCCTCGCAAGAACATTGCAATGCTGGTGGGAATCTTTCCTCAGTCTGTCTTATACCACAGACAAAATAGGATGTTGGGGGTTACCATTCTGGCAGAGCTGATTTTCACACATGAAGATCATGTCCATTCTTAGCTTTAGCTTAAGATTCTCCACCACTGCATTAGTGCAGCTCCATCGTTCGAAGCTGTAGTGTAGAGAAACCAGTGTAGGTGGGGGTTTTTTTTTAAGTCACTGTATCTGAACTTCCTGTGGGAATGAACCAGACCTGTTCAGACAGAGCAGGAGTCCTTCCTACTCAGCAGGAATGGGACAGAATTTGCCCCAAGTTTGTTTCTTCATATCTACTGATCCCTGATCTACACATCAGTAGGCTTAAATTGGGAAGTTATATAAACAGAAATAAATACAATTGACACTGTATCATTTCTGTGTCTGTTAAAATTTCATGAAAGTGCATTGTTTTTCTACATAGCATTGATTATGGATGATAGTCCCAGATGTTACAGATACTGTACTGCTACATCAAAGGGAAAAAAACTGCCATGGGAGGAAGTTTGTGCATGACAAAGGGCTTCTTCTTAGGGTTCCTCTAAAAGACCATTTAGTTTGTGGCAAGCTGGGGTGAGGATTTACCTCGCACTGGCTTGCCATGCACTACTTGTCCATAAGCACCCTGCTGACATGCACTAACAGTTTGCTAGTGTGCTTTAATCTAGTCCTGTTTCAAAGCGGGATAGACGTTTAGTGTGTGGCAAGCAAGTGTCGGGTAGGTTCACGCCCCAGCTTGTCACAAACTAAATCTTCATATAGACAGCCCTTTAGAATATGATCCTCTGCACATGGATGGTTTGCAGGATCAGATCCTAATCTTTGCAGGCTGCTAGGTATGTTGCTTGTTTGCGCACTATGGAGCTATTTTGCAGTTTTATTTTGTCCAGAGCAATGGTTCTCAGCGAGGGATACGTGTACTTTGGGGGTACACAAAGGTCTAGATGGGTACTCACTCCCTGGAAGATCAGTGTTTCTCAATCTGAAGGTTGTAGCTCCCAGGTGGGGGTGGGGTCACAGGACAGGTTTAGGAGGATTGCAAATACATGGCCAGCATTAGGGGGTGTCAAGCAGGGCAACTGCCTGGGGCCCCATGAAGTTAAGTTACATGC